CCGCGTGCTGCCCCCACCCCCACCCCTGCGCCGGCCACTCCGCCTCCTCCGCAGCCGCCGGCGGCGCGATCCTCTCGCCTTTGCGCTCCTCTCGCCCATGGAATTAATTCCGGCTCCACTTGTTGCTCTGCCCAGGTCGGGGAGCGGACGAGGGTGGCAGCGGGTTCCTGAGTGAATTCCCGAGGAGGGACTCAGCGCAGCGCGAACTAGAGGGGAGCGAGGGGGTGCGGGACGCGAGCAAGCAGGAAGGAGGCAGCGCCTGGCACCGGGGTTTTGACTCAACAGCATTGAGACATGTTTGTAATCGCTGGCGTGCCCCGCGCGCAGGATCCCAGCGAAATCAGATTTCCTGGTGAGGTTGCGTGGGTGGATTAATTTGGAAAAAGAAACTGCCTGTATCTTGCCATCAAAAAACTCAACGAAGGAGAAGCGCAGTCAATCAACAGTAAACTTAAGAGACGCCGGATGCTTCCGTTGTTTAAACTTGTATATGCTTGAAAATTATCTGAGAGGCAATAAACATCTGCTCCTTTCTTCCCTCTCCAGAAGTCGATTGGAATATTAAGCCCAGGAGTTGCTTTGGGGACGGCTGGAAGGGCAATGTCTTCCAAGTTCTTCCTAATGGCTTTGGCCATATTTATCTCCTTCGCCCAGGTCGTAATAGAAGGCAATTCTTGGTGGTAAGTTTTTCTATGTGCATACTCTTATTTAAAGATTCGTTTGTATAATGCTGCAATATTTAAAGCTGAGTCGTGAGTTTGGGTGCATTTATCTAACACGTGTATGTATGTATATATATATATATATATATATATCATACAGGTATATATGTACATATATATGTATCTTTAAATCAAAAAATTTTTTAATTCGCTAATGCTTTGAAGCTTATCTTTAGCTCCATAGGGAATCAGAACCTATAAATTCAGACCTTTTTCTATGAGGTCCTTGTTCAGAGGTATACTTGTAGTACATCATGTAATAAAGGGGAACCGAAATTCACTTCTCTAATGATTGTAAGCCTATCTATAAAATTTACTTTTTGCCACCTCGAGGCAGTAAAAGTGAGTTCCAGCGTTTATTTTCTGTCACTTGAGGTTATTAACCTTCAGGGTCTGAGGTAGGCAGAGTTGTAGGAAGACAGCTAAACTCCAAGTGGGTATTTGGGGCTTGAACTTTGATCAAAAGGAGGTAAACTTGAAATCGTCAAATGTCCCTAAACGAGGGTTTCTTGCCGGTAGGGGCCTTGAAGATAGACTGCAGTGTATCCAGGGGATTATTTTTGACGGCGTTCTGGATATTTTTTCGCTGTAAATGAACAGCATTTCTCTGACTGTCAAACACGACTTCTGTTCACTGGATACCCTGTCTTGGGTCTTTCCCAATCACATAAGGAGCCCTTTTAAAATGTCCGGAACGGGCTGAATTTTTCTTGGGTAGGACAAGTATTCTTCAGTACACTTGTCCTACTGTTCTTCCATCAGTCAAAAGGAACTGCTATCTCCTACCCGTGTCTAATTGTGTCTACTTTCGGCATTCATACACTTTTCAAGGCAGATCGGTCCAGTCTGTGGGGCAAAGTGAGTCATTTTCTTTAATGTCAGAGGCCCGTACGCCAAACTGCCATTTCCCCCTTCCCTGGTGTGGATTTCAGAATTCTGTGAAATTCTGCTTCAGGTATATGGCAGCGAGGGGCAAGGAAGGGAGTGAAAACTCTTAACGGAGGAGCCAGATGGCAGATGGGGACTACACAATACCTCTGTTTTCTGAGTGGAGTTTAAACAGAGGAGTTTTATGAAGCCCTTCTCATACTTTGTCATGAGGACAAGCAGGAGAGAAAAAGCATCTGTGTGCTTAAAACTATGTATTGCTGACATGTTTTCAGGGGGCCCACCTTGAGAGTTCACGTAAATCTTGAATGCACATCTCCCCCCCCCCCGCCGCCTTTTTTAGGTCGCTAGGTATGAATAACCCTGTTCAGATGTCAGAAGTATATATCATAGGAGCACAGCCTCTGTGCAGCCAACTGGCAGGACTTTCTCAAGGACAGAAGAAACTATGCCACTTGTATCAGGACCACATGCAGTACATCGGAGAGGGCGCGAAGACAGGCATCAAAGAATGCCAGTATCAGTTCCGACACCGGAGATGGAACTGCAGCACCGTGGATAACACCTCAGTCTTCGGCAGGGTCATGCAGATAGGTAGGAAACCATTTAATGTATTTTTAAATATATAGAAACTTTTCTCCTAGGAGAAGTCTTTAGTGTTACTTACAAGCTTGATATGGAGGGAGTCTTCCAGCAGGGTGGTGGCGTGGGAATTTTGTCATTATGGCTGTGTGCATGCCTGTCCCCACATCCAATGATAAGTTCTGGACTTCTTGACCCAAATCAGGAGATGGGGGAGGGCACCAAAGACACCTTCATTTTTCCGAACACTTAAGTTTTCTAAAAAGCATTTTGTTTAAAATAGTAGTAGCAGAACACTTATTTTGGTCTCTCAAAAGATGAGGAGGAAAGCTGAGTCATTTTAAAGTGGCCCAAGTGTCAAACTAAAAACTGTCATCTTTCAGAATGCTGGATGTGTTGGAAGTAAACAAGGTTTTAATTTTCCTAATATAGCTATTTCCTAAGGCTCTCAAGATGATATATATGTTAAAGGCTTTATTTTTTAGTCCCAGAAAGAAGTTTAATCAGATGTGATCCAATTTACATTTGCGATGTTGGCCATTGATATAAAGGCACGTGCTTCAGATCTCAGCCTAGAAACTTTAAAAAGTTTTAACGTATGGCTCACGGTCCAATTCTTTATTTTTAAATGTGTTGTTGTTTGTTGAACTTGTTATTCCATTCAGGGAGGAGGTGGCATTAAAACTGGGCTAAAGGCAAAGAATTTGGCACATCAGTTTGCCTCTGGTTTGGTTGAATAGCATAGGCTACAGTCTGACAGATGTGGTCCTGTCTGTGTTTTCTAGTGAATATTTTCGGTCTCTTTTTACTTTCATGCAAACAAGCCTGTGTAATTAATATGACTGCAGTGACTCCTAAAATAAGAAGCAATTTATCAGAGCAATTAACTATTTATACTGACTGAAGATAAAAAGTTGGCTTAATGTCCGTCATGGACGGATAAAATGCTTTTTTAAAAACCCTGAAAAGTGCATTCATTGAGAACAAAAAAGAGTTGTCAGTGGATGTTTGAGCCAAGCGGCTTCATAAACTAAAATAATACAGGACTGGAAGCTGTTCCTCTAATTGAATGGGAAAATGGTCTGCAGCCTCAGCCTGCAGAGTTTCATAGGGCTTTGTCCTTCCTGTTAATGATTAAAATGTGCTAATGTATGTACTGGGATCTGAATCTAGGAGTTAAGCTTCAGGAACACCAGAGTTTTCCCCTGATTATGGGCTGCCTTATGTAGTTAACTGGCAGTGTAGTGAAGATTGAATTCTGCTGCATTTTGATATTGTGAGTGACCCAAAAACTTTTTTTTTTAGCTATATCAGAATGGTGACCTGTCAGCTTTTCCCCGTCACCTTTGCCTTATATGTTCCCCCTATCTGCCTTCCTCTCAAACTAAACTATGGGAGTGGCTTTTCACATGTATATGAGTTAGTGAAAATCATACACCTCCGCTGGCAACAAGGAAGGAAGACAGCAACTGGAACTGTTTTTCTGTGTAGTCACTGGAGCACAGCTTTAAGATCCTCTTCCTACGTAGTCTGTTTTGGGCCAACATGTTCAGAATAAGCTATCATTTGCTAAGTGGATTTGAGTTCTGCTGAAGATTTATTTAAAATGTGGTCCAAGATTCAAAGAGCCTGCTTCCTCAGGGAACAAGCAGAGCCCCTGGTACAAAGGCCTGTATTTAATTGTCCCCTGTAAGTAGACTCTCTGGTCCTCAGCTGTGTGGCACTGTCTAGGTTGAATCGAACTGGGCGGGAGTGGAACCTTGTGGTGGCCTTAGAGGAGGGAGCCCTCCTAGATCCTATTAGCAAGTCACGGAGGCCCTGGGAGCACCCTGCCCAAGGATCCTCAGGTGTCCAAGGTCTCAGAGCAGAAAGGTGCTGCTGGGTGGCTTTCGGGTGAACACAGACAGAGCCTTTAAAAAAAAAAGAGAGAGAGAGAGATGGAGAGAAGAAAAATCAGAATAGATTTTTATGGACGAGAAACATGGACCCCATGCCAATAGTGGAAGAGTTACTTAGCTTTCACTTTTCTGTTTAACGGTATGTTGGAAGAGAATGAGCTAAGGGAAAATTTAAAACACCTTTGATGCTAGGTGTGTGGGTGCCCCACTCCAGAGCACTTAGTACAGCAGGGACATGGAGGCCAGTTCTCGTCCCTGAGAATCTGACCCTGTGATGGGGCCAGTGTCTGACTCAGGCTGCCACCCCCCAACCCCTTACCTCCTTTCTCAAGGCCAGTCCCGGCGCTGTACACCATCGCCTCATAAAGGGCCCACTCTTCATTTTGGAAACGTTCTCGTCTTTTCATCATGCTAGCCTTTCCTTCCAGCTTTTGTCTCTTGTCTCGTCTTTGTTTCCATGCTGTGAAAAGATGTATAGGAAAGGCGCCATTTTTAAGGAGGGTGAGAATAGGAGTAGATGTAGATTTCACAGGGAGGGAGCTGTAACTGGACCAGCAGTGTTCCATCCAGGATGACTGTATCCACAGGCTTTAGCCAAAGAGCACGTTTCAAGCTGATGTTTCCCTGCAATGACCAGTTTAGCTTAGAGATTTCTACCAGGATTGTATTCTGGGGCAAAAAAAAGGATACGTTCAAGATAGACAGACTTATGAAAATAGCAGCATTATTGTGTTTTACGTAAAAGCCCTTTTGTGCTCTATGTATACAGGAGAGTGGTCTGTCTCCAGAGGATTGTTTCTCTCTCTTCCTCAGTCTACCTCCTTATTCTACAAGTCTCCCGTCCAGGGACACGGCATTTTCTATATTATCAATCAGCGTTAATCCTCAAATCACTCCCTAGAATCCGTCTGCTCTCCTCATTTCTCTCCACTCCCTTGCTCTTCTCTGCCTTGCCAGTTCAGGCTAGGTAGATGTAACCCCCCCCCCCCCCCCCGTGCACACACACACACACACAGACACAGGAACTTTCTGGATCCTCCCGTCAACCACCGGTACAGTCCTCAAGTTATTTATTTTTTTAAAATGTGGGAGGGAAGCTCTGGTAAATCAGAACCATCACTGTTCCTGGAAGGGAGATCACAAATGGCTGTGGATTGAAGTGTGGAGAAGTCCAAGGAAAGGGCAGCCTGTGGGATACGTGCACGGGCAGAGCCGTCCTCCTACAGGATGGCCCTTCTGGTTGCGGCTGAGTCCTGTTGGCAGCTTTTCTTGCGCTCTCCCCCATTGTCCACCGCCCCCGCCCCCGCCCCCCCCCCCCCCCCGCAAAAGAAAAAGATTGTTAGCAAGCTCTTTAAGTATAGGAGCAACCGTTTCCGGTAAAGAGATTCTAGTGCCAGAAGGGGCCCTTTTTTCCCTAGGCATCTAGTTCAATACCCTTAATTTTATAGTTGAGGAAAATAAGGACCCCCCCCCTCATCTTGCCCCCCACTTCCACCTCCCCACCCCAGGCCCAGCTTCCGCTGGTCGGGTGTTAACCCTTTCTCTCTCATAGGACAACACTTTAAGTGACTTCTTGTTACATGTAGAAATGTCTCCACATACAAGTGGAGATGAAGGTAGTCTGTGGTTACCTCTTTTTTGCCCTCACAAATAGGGCTCCTATAGAACCGTTTGACAGGGAGATACTCTTTACAAGCTTTAGGGAAGGAGAGAACTTTTTTCCTCTAGGCCTCTTTGTTCTTTACAAGTTTGGGGAAGGAGAACCTTTTTATTTTTTTTCCTCCTTTTTGCTATTATCCTAACAAACACTTGGAGTCAGAGGCTGCTGGGGAGCTGCAGAAGTGACACTTAAGGAACTGCGGGCTGTTTTACAAGTAGACACTCACCTACGTGAGAAGTGTCAGCCCCGGTCAGCTTGGGGTTTGAGAAGAGGCGAGTTTCATTTAAAACTCTCTAGGGACCAGTTCAGAAACGTCCTCTGGGAAAGTCAGGAGCCTTGTTCCGAGACAGGCTTGATGCTGCGGATGGAGGATGGGAAAGCCGGGTTTCAACCACCGAGGCCGCAGGGAGTGGGGAGGGGCTGCTGCCGGGACTCTAAGCCTTGCAGCTCCCATGCTCCTGCCCTGTAGGTAACTCAGAAGGAAAATAATACCAAACATTAAAATAAGTGTAAGGAAGTCTACCCCAATTCTGCGTTTTCCCTCAGTGACTTCTTTCATGGGCATTTTGGAAAATAAGTTTGGAATATTTTCATAAGAGGTGTAGAGAAAAATCAGTCCAGCACTGCTTCGAATCCTGCCTTGGGCTCTGAAGTGTCAGAGCAGAGGTACCAGGGATGCTACTCCTTTGTCATGTGTCACTTCCACGTGTGTGGGGGGAATGTCTCCCGCCTTACCCCTCGGGGGGGCCGGGGGCTCAGGGCCTCCTTGTTCCCCAGCCAGGAGCGGGGGCCCGGCTGTGTGCCAGCCGGTCCCCCGCCACCCGCCCTCTGCGGCACTGCCCCGGCCGGGGCTGCGGAGCGCTGGGCGCCCACTCACCCGTCCTCGCCCGCAGGCAGCCGCGAGACGGCCTTCACGTACGCCGTGAGCGCCGCGGGGGTGGTCAACGCCATGAGCCGCGCCTGCCGCGAGGGCGAGCTGTCCACCTGTGGCTGCAGCCGCGCCGCGCGCCCCAAGGACCTGCCGCGGGACTGGCTGTGGGGCGGCTGCGGCGACAACATCGACTACGGCTACCGCTTCGCCAAGGAGTTCGTGGACGCGCGCGAGCGGGAGCGCATCCACGCCAAGGGCTCCTATGAGAGCGCGCGCATCCTCATGAACCTGCACAACAACGAGGCCGGCCGCAGGGTGAGCATCCCCGCCGCCGCGTCCCTCCTGGGGGCGGGCGGTGCTGTGGCTCCGCTCTCCGTTTCTCTCTCTGTCTCTGCGTCTGGGTCTCCCTCTCTTCCCGTCTCTGTCTCCGCCTCCTGTCCTAGCTTGGCCGGTCTCTCCCCGCCTCTCACTACTGCTCTCTTTCCACTCCCCCCACCCCCGCTCCCCAAGCAGCTACACACAGGCCTTCCTGGAGAGGGGTGGACACCCCAGAAAGGCCTCCTGGAGGGGAAGCATCCCGCGCCTTGGCCCCCTCCAGCCAGGGTGCTCCTGACCTGGCCTGAGAAAGAGCTTTCTTTGCCTTTGTACTTGGTCCACAGTAGAGCTGGCCAGCCCAGCTCACAAATACAAATGTTCCTGACGTTCCCTGCCCTCCGCCCGGGATCAAGTTTGTGCTTGGGCTTAAATGGAGGACAGGGGAGTTATTTATGCCAGTAAGTGCCCAGCTCATAAGGCACTCACCCAAGCTTCCAGGGCTACTTACCTTCCCCTCTGCTTTCTTCGTGCCCCTCCTCGTGTCATTAGATAGCAGGCCTGATGGATTCAGGCTTTTGCAGAAACACAAGTTCTACCAAAACGAGGAGCGTTTTTGGCAGACTGGAGCTTTATATAGGTATGAACATCAGGCCCATCGAGGTGCTCTGGAGAGGGGAGGGCCACTCAGAAGTGTGCAGAGATATGCTCTGGAGATGGGAGAGAGCCACCCAGAAGTGTACAGAGAGATGCTCTTGAGAGGGGAGAGCCACTCAGAAATGTTCAGAGAGATGTTCTTGAGAGGGGAGAGAGCCACTCCGAGGTGTGCAGAGAGATCCTCTGGAGAGGGGAGAGCCACTAACACGTGTGCAGAGATATGCTCTGGAGAGGGGAGAGCCACTGAGTAGTGAGCAAAGACGTGATCGGCAGAGGGGACAGACACTCAGAGGTGTGCAGAGAGATGCTCTGGAGAGGGGAGAGCCACTGAGTAGTGAGCAAAGACGTGATCGGCAGAGGGGACAGACACTCAGAGGTGTGCAGAGAGATGCTCTGGAGACGGGAGAGAGCCACTCAGAGGTGCGCAGAGAGATGCTCTGGAGAGGGGAGAGCCACTCAGACGTGTGGAGAGAGGTGTTCTGGAGAGGGGAGAGAGCCAGTCAGAAGTGTGCAGACAGGTGCTCTGGAGATGGGAGAGAGCCACTCCGAGGTGTGCAGAGAGATCCTCTGGAGAGGGGAGAACCACTCAGAAGTGTGCAGAGATGTGCTCTCGAGAGGGGAGAGGCACTCAGAAGTGTGCAGAGCGATGCTCTGGAGAGGGGATATATCCACTCAGAAGTGTGCAGAGAGGTGCTCTGAAGAGGGGAGAGAGCCACTCCAAAGTGTGCACAGAGCTTCTCTGGAGAGTGGAGAGACCCACTGAGTAGTGTGCAAAGACGTGCTCTAGAGAAAGGACAGCCACTCAGAAGTGTGCAGAGAGATGCTCTGGAGAGGGGAGAGCCACTCAGAAGTGTGCAGAGAGATGCTCTAGAGAGGGGAGAGAGCCACTCCGAGGTGTGCAGAGAGATCCTCTGGAGAGGGGAGAGTCAGTCAGAAGTGTGCCGAGAGATGCTCTGGAGAGGGGAGACAGCCACTCAGAGGTGTGCAGCGAGATGCTCTGGAGAGGGGAGAGCCAATCAAAAAGAGAGATGTTCTTGAGAGGGGAGAGCCAATCAGAAATGTGCAGAGAGATGTTCTTGAGAGGGGAGAGAGACACTCAAAAGTGTACAGAGAGGTGCTCTGGAGAGGGGAGAGCCACTCAGAAGTGTGCAGAGAGGTGCTCTGGAGAGAGGAGAGAGCCACTGAGTAGTGTGCAAAGACGTGCTCTGGAGAGGGGACAGGCACTCAGAAGTGTGCAGAGATATGCTCTGGAAGGGGAGAGCCACTCAGAAGTATGCAGAGAGATGCTCTGGAGACAGGAGAGAGGGACTCAGAAGTGCGCAGAGAGATGCTCTGGAGAGTTGAGAGAGCCACTCAGAAGTGTGCAGAGACGTACTCTGGAGAGGGGAGGGAGACACTCAGTAGTGTGCAGAGAGGTGCCCTGGAGAAGGGAGAGAGCCACTGAGAAGTGTGCAAATACGTGCTCTGGAGACGGCAGAGCCACTCAGAAGTGTGAAGAGAGATGCTCTGGAGAGGGGTGACAGCCAGTCTGAGGTGTGCAGAGAGATGCTCTGGAGAGCGGAGGGCCACGCAGAAGTGTGCAGAGAGGGCTCCCCTGGTGGCACAGTAGTTGAGAGTTCGCCTGCCGATGCAAGGGACACGGGTTCGTGCCCTGGTCCGGGAAGATCCCACATGCCGCGGCGCGGCGGGGCCCGTGAGCCACGGCCGCTGAGCCTGCGCGTCCAGAGCCTGTGCTCCGAAACAGTGGAGGCCACAACAGTGAGAGACCCGCTTAGCGCCAAAAAAAAAAGTGTGCAAAGAGATGCTCTGGAGAGGGGAGAGCCACGCAGAAGTGTGCAGAGAGATGCTCTGGAGAGGGGAGAGACACCCAGAAGTGTGCAGAGTTGCTCTGCACAGTGGAGAAAGCCACTCATAAGTGTTCAGAGAGATGCTCTGGAGAGGGGAGAGAGCCACGCAGATGTGGGCAGAGAGGTGCTCCGGAGACGGGAGAACCACTGAGAAGTGTGCAGAGAGATGCTGTGGAGAGGGGAGAGCCACTCGGAAGTGTGCAGAGAGGTGCTCTGGGGAGGGGAGAGAGCCACTGAGGAGTGTGCAGAGACGTGCTCTGGAGAGGGAAGAGCCACTCAGAAGTGTGCAGAGAGATGCACTGGAGAGGGGAGAGAGCCACTCAGAAGTGTGCAGAGAGGTGCTTTGGAGAAGGGAGAGAGCCACTCAGAGGTGTGCAGAGAGATGCTCTGCAAAGGGGAGATAGCCACTCCGAGGTGTGCAGAGAGATCCTCTGCAAAGGGGAGAACCACTAACAGGTGTGCAGAGAGATGCTCCGGAGAGGGGAGAGCCAGTCAGAGTGTGCAGAAAGGTGCTCTGCAGACCTAGAGAGCCAAACAGAAGTGTGCAGAGACGTACTCTGGAGAGGGGAGGGAGACACTCAGTAGTGTGCAGAGAGGTGCCCTGGAGAGGGGAGAGAGCCACTGAGAAGTGTGCAAATACGTGCTCTGGAGAGGGGACAGCCACTCAGAAGTGTGCAGAGAGATGCTCTGGAGACGGGAGAGAGCCACTCAGAAGTGTGCAGAGAGATGCTCTGGAGAGGGGAGAGCCACGCAGAAGTGTGCAGAGAGGGCTTCCCTTGTGGCGCACTGGTTGAGAGTTCGCCTGCCGATGCAGGGGACACGGGTTTGTACCCCGGGCCGGGAAGATCCCACATGCAGCGTAGCGGTGGGGTCCGTGTGCCATGGCCGCTGAACCTGCGCGTCCAGAGCCTGTGCTCTGAAACGGGAGAGGCCACAACAGTGAGAGATCCGCGTAGAGTAAAAAAAAAAGTGTGCAGAGACATGCTCTGGAGATGGGCGAGCCACTCGACGTGTGCAGAGCGATGATCTAGATAGGGGAGAGCCACTCAGAAGTAAACAGAGAGATGCTGTTGAGAGGGGAGAGCCACTCAGAAGTGTTCAGATAGGTGCTCTGGAGAGGGGAGAGGTACTCAGAATTGTGCAGAGAGATGCCTGGAGAGAGGAGAGGTACTCAGAAGTGTGCAAAGAGATGCACTGGAGAGGGGAGCGCCACTCAGAAGTGTGCAGAGACATGCTGTTGACAGGGGAGAGCCACTCAGAAGTGTGCACAGAGATTCTCTGGAAAGGGGAGAGAGCCACTGAGAAGTGTGCAGAGAGATGCTCTGAAGAGGGGACAGCCACTCAAAAGTGTGCAGAGAGGTGCTCTGGAGAAGGGAGAGAGCCACTCAGAGGTGTGCAGAGAGATGCTCTGCAAAGGGGAGATAGCCACTCCGAGGTGTGCAGAGAGATCCTCTGCAAAGGGGAGAACCACTAACAGGTGTGCAGAGAGATGCTCCGGAGAGGGGAGAGCCAGTCAGAGTGTGCAGAAAGGTGCTCTGCAGACCTAGAGAGCCAAACAGAAGTGTGCAGAGACGTACTCTGGAGAGGGGAGGGAGACACTCAGTAGTGTGCAGAGAGGTGCCCTGGAGAGGGGAGAGAGCCACTGAGAAGTGTGCAAATACGTGCTCTGGGGAGGGGACAGCCACTCAGAAGTGTGCAGAGAGATGCTCTGGACAGGGGTGACACCAGTCTGAGGTGTGCAGAGAGATGCTCTGGAGAGGGAGAGCCACGCAAAAGTGTGCAGAGAGGTGCTTTGGAGAAGGGAGAGAGCCACTCAGCGGTGTGCAGAGAGATGCTCTGGAGAGGGGAAAGCCACTCAGAAGTGTGCAGAGAGGGCTTCCCTCGTGGCGCAGTGGTTGAGAGTTCGCCTGCCGATGCACGGGACATGGGTTCGTACCCCGGTCTGGGAAGATCCCACATGCCGCGTGGTGGTGTGGTCCGTGAGCCATGGCCGCTGAGCCTGCGCATCCAGAGCCTGTGCTCCGAAACAGTAGAGGCCACAACAGTGAGAGACCCGCTTAGCGCAAAAAAAAAAAAAAAAAAAAAAAAAAAAAACGTGCAAACATATGCTCTGGAGAGGGGAGAACCACGCAGAAGTGTGCAGAGAGATGCTCTTGAGAGGGGAGAGACACTCAGAAGTGTGCAGAGAGGTGCTTTGGAGAAGGGAGAGAGCCACTCAGAGGTGTGCAGAGAGATACTCTGCGAAGGGGAGATAGTCACTCCGAGGTGTGCAGAGAGATGCTCTGGAGAGGGGAGAGAGCCACTCAGAAGTGTGCAGAGAGATGCTCTGGAGAGCGAGAGAGCCACTCCAAAGTGTGCACAGAGGTTATCTGGAGAGGGGAGAGAGCCACTGAGTAGTGTTTAAACACGTGCTCTGGAGAGGGGACAGCCACTCAGAAGTGTGCAGAGAGATGCTCTGGTGAGGGGAGAGGGTCACTCAGAAGTGTGCAGAGAGATGCT